ACTCTTGTTTGTCCTGCATTTCCTCAATTTGAATGTTGGTTCTCTGGTGCCCCGTGGTCTATTGCTTTAAGGGATGTATTACCATAGAGTATGTGGGTGTGTCATCCTGGTTTGAGTGGTCTGCGTGTATGTCTTGTTAACTATTGGGCTGAGAGCCAGCCCCTGGGGGGGATCATTTTATCCCAGGCACAGAATATATTCCAGGGCCATAGTATTGGGAGTCTCACCAGATTTCATCTGACTAGTAATTCTGATTATCATTGGGTTTTTAGATTTTGTTTCACGTTTTTCCTCCCACTTTGTCCAGGATCTCCAGATTTGATCCTTTCCTGAGTGGTTGGCATTGGTAGCCAGGCACCATTTAGTTCTTCTGGTCTCAAGTGCCATCATGTCCTATGGCTGATTGCTTCCAAATGCCCTTACTGGGTTTTTTTTGTTTTTGTTTTTGTTTTTGTATATTCTTCTTCTTCGCTTCTGACACTAGGAGACTGTTAGCTGGATCTTAGATGTCTGCCTGAAAGCTTTTAAGAACCCAGTCGCTACTCACCAACATGGGATGCAGAACAAGGCTTTTTGTGTATTTTGTTGTGTCAGTTGAGTCTGGTGTGCCCAGTATTATGGTCCTAAGACAGTAGATCTATTGGATCTCTCTCACATAGTATCTGGTTATGTTGTTTCTGTAAGGACTGCAGGTATTTTGTATCACTGGTATCTGTGCAAGATTAGCCTCTGCTGAATCTATCCTTGGTCTAGAGTATACTCCTGTTCACTGACCCCCATCTGATCATCTCAGGTGTTTATGTGTTTATCTGTAGCCTGGTGTTAGGTTTGGTGTTAATGGCAGTGCAGTATTGTGGACACATTGGTTGTATTAGCATCTGTCGTCTATCTCTTATGTGCACAATTTGGTGTCCTCCCATTTCCTAATGTTATCATGGTCACAGATCCTTTCCATATATCCCTCCCCTTACCCACATCAGCGTGTGGACCCTAACTAGCCTGAAATTAATCCATTCCAGTAACTTACAAAGTGAGTTCCCTTTCCCAAGCAAACCCTTCTTTGTCTTTTTACAGTAATGGGCTCATACGGTACTTGTTTTTCTGCAATTGACTTATTATACTTAGCTTAATGTCCTCCAGATTCATCCACATTGTGAGGTGATTCGTGTATCCCTCATTGTTCTTTAATGTAGCATAGTATTCCCTTGTGTGCATGTACCATAATTTGGTTATCCACTCATCCGTTGATGGGCATTTAGGTTGTTTCCATCTCTTTGCTATGGTGAATTGTGCTGCAATGAACATAGGTGTACATATGTCTGTTGGTGCGCTATCTGTCACCTCTTTAGGATATATTCCTAGTGATGGAATTGCTGGGTCAAATGGTACTTCTATTTTCAGTTTTTTAAGGAAACACCATACTGTTTGCCACAATGGTTGTACCATTTT